AGGCTTCATCAGCGAGAAGAAGACGTTTTGTTGGTGATGGAATTTTTCCCAAAAAAGGTCACACGAGAGAAACTGAAGCAACTGTTTCTTTTTTGTTTGCTATAACTGCTCAGGTATGGGTTACAATGGGTCAGATTTTTTTGCTAGTTTCTCTTCAAAAATCAAAAACATTTAAAATATGGATATAAACATAATGTTACCCTAAAAACAGTTTAAATTTTAACCGGAATTAAGTTAAGAGGGCAAAATTGAAGAAAGAAAACAATTTGAGGGCCAAACCTAGAATTATAATGATTTGGAGGAAATTTTTAAAATACATACAACTTAGTGTTTATATATCGAAAAAAACCCTAAAAGATATTGCACATAAGTTGAACTTTAATATAAGATAGACAAGGGGATTCAGGAATATCATCTTACTTGCTGTGTCTTTGAACTGCACTCTATGTAGGCAAGAGCACCAATTGTCTTCTGCAGCTCTTCTCCCTGCAATACAACAATTTACCATGAACAGTTAATTTACTGTAGACTGGAACTTAACAGATCAGAAGATGTTAATATTTTTCTAAAAAACAGATTTTTATCACCTGAGCAGTAGTGATGGGAACAGCTCCAGGGTGATCATTTAAGAATTGCTTATCATCCCGCAGATCTGAAAACAAATCCCACACATTAATAGGTACCATAACCAGGACAATGAGATAAAACATGTCAGTACAAGTTTTACATCTGAATGAACTTATGAGGATATGTACAGAAACCAGTGTGCACATTTCCTATTAAACTATAAGTGTGTACAAATATTCATCACAAACGATATGATGTACTGCCCACTGAACCGTATCCCAATGAGGCCTCTATGTAGCGGCAAACAGGTGAAAGTGAAACTAATATAATATAGCTTTCTACTCTTTAAATGTATATGATATCAAGTCACTTCCAGAAAGCGTACCTTGGGAGAATTCTCAATTTTACAATTCAGCATGCAAGTTTCCTAAGTGAAAGGAGCATACGAGTTCTTTAAATTTCTTAATGAGTAAACCAATTGACCAACATGCTTCCTATCCAACCTAGTGTATGTAGCCAGTCCTATTCAACCTAGTGTATGTAGCCAGCATTCTAGAGACCAACATTCTGCCAGGCCAAATTTAGTCAAGGTGTCTATCTGATTCTCTCTTGCCGTCTCATTTCAGCCTCTGATTAGAATTGAAAATCAAATGCACTTTCAATTAGACAATTGAGTAGCTTTCCTCCCATGGACTTTTATCTGCTCTGGAGTAGACCATCTCATGTTGTCTCTGAACAATTGAAAACCAAAATATGCAACAACAGAGATGGCTGGCCAATTTAAACTGTTCTTCCATTTATCACATCTCAGAATTCTCAATATTCCAGATTCCGTCCTCTATACTGCCAAATAATGGCCCTACTCTGTTGCTAGTCTAAAGTGCCGATAAGCAACCTATGAATCTCCAGAGTTCACTACGCAGTTTAAACCACTTTTCCATTTATAAAATCTCCCAGTGTTCTAAGTTTAGATTCTCTACCCTCTATTTTGCCACAAAATGTCACAACTTCGTTGCTAATTTCATGAGGTACTGTAGCTATAAGCCCACCTTATCCCTAAAACTCATAACCCAAGATTTTTGTTCATTTGATACTTATGTCTTTTGATTAGATAAGCTTGACTTTTAAGCTCTTACAAATCACTTCCCTCAAGCATCATCACCTACACTATCTTATAGTTTTGCATGGTATTTACTTTGTCGGAAGCTGGCCACTTCCCTAGCTAGTCGCTAGAAAGTGCTCTACTATGCACAGATTAGAAGCCATACGTGTTGCTTATCAATGGCATCCCAAAGTTCAATGGGATACACAAGGGACAGCATGAAACTAATCAGGATGACGTCACTTGTGGTGCTCAGATAATCAATAAGACAGTATCATGGTATCAAAAATAAACATAAACAATACATAAGAAATTTTGGAAAAATGCTAAAATGACATAACCAAGACGAATAGAAACTTTACCAAGCTTCGTTCCAACAAGAACAATAGGAACACCGGGTGCATAGTGCCTCAATTCAGGAATCCACTGAAAGAGAACAGTATAAAATCAGATATCAGCATTCAATCTGAAACACTGTAAGGGGGAAAAACAGAAATAATATATCAAATGAAGTAACAATGTATTATTTACCTTCTTAGCAACATTTTCATAGCTAGCCTTACTGATAAGGGAGAATGCCAAAAGGAAAACATCAGCTCCACGATAACTCAAAGGTCTCAATCTGTTATAGTCCTCCTGCCCTGTTCCACAAATACACAGTAGAAAACTCAGCACAGCATGGATAATAACAAAGTAATAATGGCAGAAAAGGAAACAGAGATTTATAGCCAGTAATTGAAGGAGATCCATGAAATGACGCAAAATTTACCTGCCGTGTCCCATAAACCTAAGTTAACAGTGTTCCCATCAACCACAACATTAGCACTGAAATTGTCAAAGACAGTTGGGACATAGTCCTGTAATCAGAAGAAATGTAAAATTGAAGTTCTGAAGTTCAGAAAATACTTGGGCTAAAAAGTAATCTGTAAACCATACTAATAATGGTCAGACATGAAGCTATATGGCATATAAGTTTTAAATAAAAAAAAGAGCTAGCTTGAACAAGAGTCTCTAATTTTAAGTTGATATATCAAAGATATCTCAAATTTCAAAATTCAATAAGATCTGACTAAATAGATTTACGAAACAAACATAAACTTACTGAGACACTATGTAAACAATAAAGCAACGCCATCCCAAATATATTCCTTAAACATCCAAAGAAAAATGAGATCTACAAAGAAGTTCACATTTTCTAGCAGATATTTGACAACAAAAAACAACAAGATGAATAATAATGAGATGAACTCAGAAATTAATGAAAAGAGAATGCTGATTTGCATTTAACATATTTCCTTAGAGAAAGTGAATTCAGAAAACACAAATTTGATTGGGGTTATCAGACAAAGACACATTTAGTTGGAGCAAATAAAACCCATAAAAGAGCTGGTTAAGAAAATAAGAGCAATCTTAGTTGTAGCAAGTAAAACACATATACGGATGAAGTTATTAGATAAAGATACCTTTCTTTGACAGTATAAAGAGCCAGAAAGAAAGGTCTTTCAAAATGACTTCTTCAAGTCCGCCATAAAAATTTAGAATTACCCAAAGTAAAACCTATTTCTCCCAAATACTTCAATATGTAAAACAAATTTGAAAAATAAGTTAACTGAACTTCCCTTGATTCATAATCTCTACGTTAAGACAATACAACCCCTTCTCCTCTAGTCATATGATTGAAGATCCAAATCCTAACATTGGCTCAAATAAACAAAAAATTTCTCACGAGAAGCATGAACAAAGAAAGAAGTTTTTTTCAAGTCCACTTCTCATATTGCTCCAAAACATTATACAGTATACAAGGTTAGGACACCTTATCTCAAAATTTCTAATCTCAATGCGAGAAAAAGTTATGAGATTCCTTGATCAATAGTCCCAAACTTGACATGAGATATTCTACACCTCCTAAATCAACGTAGATGAAAACAGAAACTCCATGCGATTCATTTACTAAATGGAATGACTTGATCAAATTGACAGAGTAATATAAATAAGACATGAGGACAAATTAACTGATCAATCTACACCTCTTATCCATCTCAACCAATATGAAGACACACTGATAAATCAACATGAAACAAACAAGCTGCACTGAGGCAGTACAAAGAGAACGATTACAAATCGGAACAACAAATCCATAAAAATATAGAGTTCTTTTCCAACAATATCAAATCTGAGCTGTTGTAGTCCCTAAAGAATAGTCAAAACTCCAAATATCATAATCTTTAAAACTACATTCCTCAAGAAAATATACAATGAATAGCCAGCATGTGAATGATCTTCCATGACCATGAATTCCCTACGAGAATCAAAACAGAAGCCACAAAAATACATTACTGAAATGATTAAAAACCAACAAGTGACAAGAGCAGTAATCCAACATGCCTAAGAGATACCCACAACTAGATACAGAAGGCAAATCCATTAAAGAAAAACCAAATATTTGCTCAAAATCCTTAAAATTAAAGGATGATCTAACACAGAGTACCTTTTCAAATAAATTTCCCAAGGAGAAAACTAAGTTATATAACAGAAGTACAATGAAATTTATTCGCATAAATTCACTATTTTAGTAAAACAATTTCAACACAAATGGATCACTGAAATACAATCAACTTCCTTCACAGAAATTGAAATAATAAAATACTCAGCCATGTAATAAGTACATTTTCCTTAGTAATCCTGAAAATCCATTTGATCTTATATGAGCATATATACGCCAAAAAAGAAAAGGAAAGAAAGAAAGAAAGAAAAACTGACTTAAAGCTCAATGGAAGAAAAATCTATAAAAGAAGTCCTTTTAAAATTCTTTTATATAAATAAATATATATATATCTATATATATATATATATATATATATATATATTTATATATATATAT